GCTACTGGGTCAACTGCTTTCATTTTTTTTTTTTTTAATGAAATAGATACTGTTCACTATTCACCATAAGAGCGAATAAAAATAAAACACTTGGTTTAAAAAAAAATAGACCACAAAGAACTTAACACATTCACTCCTTAGGATCTGAAGTCTCTCATTTTGTGTTCTTTTGTTCTGTAATTGGTTGCTAGCACCCCCTTTAACCCACCTTAAAGGGCAAGCAGGAAATTCATGTTTTCCTTAATCAGCCCATCCCACCGAAAAGCGTTCGATATTAAAACAGTTTGCAAGGAGCAAAAGCAGAGGAAACGGGAGGCCCAGCCAGCCTGTAGCAAGATGCAAGCAAGATTGGCTGCCACATCCACAAAGTCTTGTTCCTGTCCAGTCTTTGCATGGAGGTATCAAGTTAATTAGGGTAAGACTCTGTTCTTCGCTTTCAATGTGACCTTTTATTATATCCGTGGCTCTCTGGCTCATGGGGTGTCAGAAAGCTCTGGGAAAGTCTCCCCAGCTGCTTGACACAAACTGGAAAAAATGAAGCATTGATGTTTCCTTTTGCCTGGAGGTTTTCAGAGCAGCAAATTACTGCAGAGGCAAAGTTGAGTGGTAGATGTGCTGTGGGTGTCAGAATGCTGCTTTTGTCTTTTAGCTCTTCGCCTTCCCTGGTGATCAGGTGCAACTTGTGGGGAGCAGAGGGGTGTTGGAGGGAAGGGGTGAGGGGGGGGAGAGATTGGTTCAGGAGGAGGTTACATGGCAGCATTCCCACGAATGCTGGCCAAGGATGAACAAGATAAAGAAATCTTGTTTTTCTGAGCTAGAGGATTCTCTGCATGACTTCCCCACTGTTGGGGTGATGAGCTTTCAGGCTGAGATTTTATTAACGATTCATATGGAGATTGAGGGCAGTGGAGGAGCAGATTCTCACATAAACTTGATCTGTCCATGAATGCAGTCCTCTGTTTGCCCTGACCCTGCCTGGCTTAAGACACTGCCTGTGAGGCCAGCGTGCCAGACACAAAGAAAGAAATGAAAGGCAAGCACATTCCAGGAGTCTGCACAAAAGAAGGAGCAGTTTCTGGTCCTCTCCCCAGAGAGGATCTTATCTCCGTGTGGCCAGAAAAACTCTAAAATGTTTATTTGTCTGCGTATAGTTTTAAAAGTGATGTGGCTGTTGATAGATGTTTTGTTAGGTCGTAACGTTCTGCTTTCAAAACTTGTGGAAACTAGAACAATCTTGGTGCGGGCATACTTTTTGAAGCGTAGTGTTCAGAGTCTCTGGCCTTGAAGTATTTTTACTTTCTTGATTGGTAGGTAACTTGCAAAACGAATCCTCTCCGGCTTTCAGAGAAGCCAGAGCAGCATGTTAAAGCTTTGAGTTGACTTCCTGATGCCTTGTGACTCTGCAACTTTTGAAACGTGTGACCGAGTTCATGCATGAGATGAAACTGACATGTGGCACAAGCCCAGACACCCCCAGGCTCATGACTAGGACGGCAGGGTGACATTAAAAAAGAAGAGGAGGAGGAGGAGGAGGAAGAAGAGGAGGAGGAAGAGGAGGAGGAGGAGGAGGAGGAGGAGGAGGAGGAGGAGGAGGAGGAGAAGGAAGAAGAAGAAGAAGCAGCAGCAGCAGCAAGTGGAAAGAAAAGTTTGAGTTGGACCGAAGTGCAAGGGAGACTAGGAACTTTTAACTGTTAGCATTCCTAGATGCACTGCATCTAGGTTCTCTATACCTCTACGCAGTGCAGCAGTGGACTGATATGTTATCCCCAGACATTTTTCGGTAACGAAACACACTGGTTTTATTGTTTAGCAAGTGCACACTCTGGATCTCTGGGTATATGAATTATTTAGGTTTAAGGGTGTAAAAAAAAACTGATATATATAATTCTGTTGCTACGTGATGTGTTCCCACAGATGGTTATCAATCAGAAAACTCAGAAACCCAGAAACACAGACTCTTGAATTTTGTGTACCTGTGTAGCTGTTCAAGTTGTTTTAACACTTTTATGGTTAAAAAAAAAAACAAACAAAAAAACAAACAAACAAACAAACATGGAGAAACACACACACACACACACACACACACACACACACAGACCAGAGGAATGCAGGCAAATGCCATTAATTATGATAGTTTCTGTTCCTTTCATTTTATAGTGGTTTTATTTCCATGAAATTAACTGTTGTACTTAGGCTAATTGTCAGTAATTGGTGACAAAATCACTTCATTGTTTTTTCTATAGCATGATACTAATTAGGACTTTGATAGACTGGCCCAGCCATGTTTTGCATTTTACCTGCTATTGCAATCAGTGGTAGTTAATGGCAAGTGCAACTTAAAAAAAAAAATCTATATGATAAAATGTTTCTATTAATAATTAAACAAGTCTTTTAAACAGTCTGTCACATATTAATTTTAAAACACTGACATGGAAGAAAGCTTTCATTATATGTTTTGTTGGTTTCATGAAACGTCAACTTATGGTTTCTGATTTGAACTAAAACCTATTGGAATGATCTGTAAAAGAAGAGAATTACACATTTCAACTGCTTAGCCACATGCCTTTTTATTATTCTGTTTGTGCCGGCAACATTGAAATTAGTGTTGCTTTTGTATGATACTTTCCTAAGGCAGCACAGGGCTAGATGGCATTGTCTTTCTTTTTATGCCTGACAGTTAAATTGAGTGTAATAAAATGTAGCATATTGTTTATTCTTGATTTCTAATTAGTTTTTTTTCTGTTTTGTTTTTGCACTTGTGTTATTTTGAAGCATTATATTTCAAGTAAAACTATATATGAACAGTTGAGATTATAAAAGCTTGGTTTTATTTACAGAAAAAGCGTGTTCCTTATAGGTAATAGATTTTAAAGAAAAAATAGGAGAGTACAATATTTTGTGAAGTGAGCTTTAATGGCTAAGGAAGAAAATAGTATTACACAATATATCCCATTAAAACAATCACAGCCAATGCTATTTTGCTTTTATTTTTCCTTAAAAAAATTATTCTCAACGGACTTTCCACGTGATTTTTATGAAATTTTAAGTTTCAAAAGTTTTCTAATACTTTGACAAATAATCTCCTTGCTTTTCTTCCTCATTCTAAGATAACTCTTAGCCATCAAGTGCATTCTGCAATTTGCAATGCACTCCGTTTGTTTTAAATGCATCCATGATGTATAATGTATAATAGAGTGGAGTGTCCCACAGTCATCCTGAGAAAAGTTTTTTAAGAAGCAATTAGAAAAATAATTGCCTATTAAAAAGTGAAGATTGCTTTGAGCAGGGAGAGAAGAAACTGAATGTTGAATTGAAAGCATTCATTGTTAGCCGGACACCTATGCACCAAATCTGAAATTAGAGAAAAATCACGAAATACGTCTTTTGGCAAGGGGAATTGTTTAAATTTTCTAAAGCTGTCAGCCCATTTCTCTATTTTTTTCCCTGCTAAAGAAAAATTTCCAATGGAAAGCCTCACCTTTTGTATGAAGTTGAAATGTTTTATTTTTGCAGGATTGTCCTACACTGTACAAAATCAGAACAATTCAATAGCTTCCAGGGAAGGAGGGGGCCGCAAATGAGAATCTTTTTATCATTTTAGAATGTCCAAGGCAGAGCACAAAAACTATATAAATCTGTGCTTGTTTCTTTGAAAAAAGAGAATCTTTTGATTGCAGCAGTTATTTGAATACCCATTCAGGTTCTTTTGTAGCGTATTGTAATAAATGCACATCTCCTAAATGAAGAATACTCATGAGGGGACAAAACTCAAACATAAACCATGTTTAGATGCTGCCTTTCAATTGGTTAACCCCATAGGATTAGACATAGGTTTTTGTACTTTTGATTTCTTTCCTTTTCTCTCTCCCTCCCTCCCTCCCTCCCTCTCTCTCTCCCCCCTCTCTCCCTCTCTCTCTCTCTCTCTCTCTCTCTCTCTCTCTCTCTCTCTCTCTCTCTCTCTCTCTTTCTTTCTTTCCTCTCTCCAGGCTCTAGAAAATACATTTCCTTAAGCAAAATTCAGTTTGTTCCTTTTTTCACCTTATGGGTATATATCAAGTATGTTCTCCTGTTTCTTATCAATTTCAAATAAATGGAATGTGAAAAGCAAGCAGGATGGAGACTAAGTTTTAAGAATAATAAAGTTAACTCAGGAAAGATAATTGTTCTCTTTTACTCATCCTGCTTTCTCGTAGAGATGCTTGAGAGTAAAGTGGGTCTGCTTTTTCTTTCTTGAATTTCCTAAATGTTCAGGGACAATACAAAAGAGGAACCCAGACTCTGGCGATGGTACTATGAGCTCCATGCATGGGCATGTGAGTGCTATAGGAAAAAAGCCAATAAATCCAGTTTGCTTCTAGCATAATCATACTTGACAACCATACAGACACCGCTGAGGCTCTCCGGGTAGCAGCCAGCATCTTAGCCCGCTCCAGCCCCAGCATCCTTTATCATTGTAATCGGTTTCATCAGTCCAAGCTGTGCCAACGCCCCTAATTAGCCACAGCCTCGTTTTAAAAATTAAAACCAACCCCCACACAATAACACCCACCACACGGAGCACCCCACAGCACTCAGGATGTTCCTTGTGGGATATCACACCGTGGATAGTAGCATTCCTCTGACCTACATGGCCTCCTTGGGGTTCATCCACTTCCCTCATCAGAGGTGTGCCCACAGCGGGACCACCAGATCCCACCAAACTCCGCTGGGGGCTTGTTGCATTTTAATTCTTTCCTTTCAGTGATGTGCTGATTCAAACCAGAAGTAGTCTCTCTCTCTCTCTCTCTCTCTCTCTCTCTCTCTCTCTCTCTCTCTCTCTCTCTCTCTCTCTCTCACTGCTAAATGTTTGGTGGCCCACCCGCTAAGCAAACAGCAATGAATAAAATAAAATAAAGTGATCCGAGGTAAAAGATACTGATTCCAGGTTCGTTTTAGTTGATGGTGCTCCAAGAAGTCCCCCATTCCATTGCAACTTTGTTTGTTTGTTTGTTTCTCCCCAGGGGTGAAGCGCCTGCAGCACTGGAGAAAATGAGCCCCGCCTATCTTCCATAGCATCCATGTCCTAAAGCAATGCGAGAAGCCTGGAGGTATCTTGAGCTTTATCTATTTTAGAACAACCGGAGTACCTGTTGTCTCACACTATGTGCATGCATGTGTAAAGAAACACGCTTTTCCTATGATATCTGCCTTTTCTGGGACCTTATACTGTGCTGGGCAACATGGAAATCTGTAACCTGGGGGAAATGGACATGACATCAAATGCGGGCCCCTGACGGTGCAAGGTTGATGAAACAAGTTCGTTCGCCTGTGGCTTCAGCTCCCAACTCAGGTGACCAATGTCTGCAGGGAAAGCAAAACTGTGTGTGTTTTGCCTTTTGTTCCCTGTGACCCATTGTTTCGATTGTAAATAATGATTTCATGACAAGCTGCCTTGCTCTAAAATCCAGTAGTAACTTGAGACCAGTGGTTATTTGGCAAAAGACCTAGCCATATACCAGCAAGGAAAACAGTGTTTAACAGCAAAGACAGGCTACTACTGGAGCTGTTACCTCTAAGCATGAGCATAGAAAATAGTCAAGCTCTAACCGTGGTTTGGAAATATTTTCGAATTCTCTACTCTGCCTACTTGGGATGAGATGGGACCCATATTTTTGTCATATTACTCAATGTATCATTTTGAGACGAATACACTGAATAACAACATAAAAACCTATAAAGAAGTTAGCCACGGATATGAGCTATAATCTTAGATTATTATTTAAAAGAATAAAAGAGCAAAATTATACAGAATACAGAGGGACTCTCTGTATCTCTGGAGGTACCGGTACATAGCTTTCCTGAGTTGTCACATGGCCATGGAAGGGGGACCCTCTATCTAGAGCAGTCCCCTATACCTAATTAAGTCTCAAAATAATCTTGGAGAAAATCCACTGGAATGAAGCATTACAAGAAAATGCACTTTTGGAAACTACATCGAAGGCATTTTTACCATGCAGACTTTTGTTCCAGGCATAATTTTTAACAAGCTCAAGATGTGGGGTATTAAATGAACTATGGCAACGGAGAGCTTAGCATCTGGCCACATTGTAAACTGTCAAAGATACGAAAACATCGTCGCGGGCCATGCGATTGCAGTTAACAGGACCCGAATGGAGTGGCGGTGCTCACCGTCTTGGTTTTCACATGTGTAGTTTTGCTTTCTGGCTCACTTCTCCCTGTGATCGATTCCCATGCAGAGCCAGTGCTCTCCAGGAGAAGGCCGAGATTAGAACAATGTCAGCCTCTGCTTTTAGCAGAGTGATGAGGTCATCAATAATGCATTGGCCATCTCAGGAACCTTGTGCACATGGGCCTCGAAGCCGCCCCACATTTATTGCAGGACTCGCAGGTTTGAGCTAAGATGTCACCACATCTACTTTTGAGGCAGCTCCTGATGCATTCTCAACAAATCTGGGATGGGGGGAGGGAGAGGAGGGCAGAGTAGAGAATTCGAAAATATATCCAAACCACGGTTAGAGCTTGACTATTTTCTATGCTCATGCTTAGAGATAATAGCTCCAGTAGTAACCTCATAGAGACAGCTGTTGAGATTATCTAACTGAAACATTACATTAGAGGAGGTTATTGAGGAGAGAGGGAGAATGCACCTACGAAATTGCTTTTTTAGAGAAGCCCATTTATTCAGTGCGACTCTCATAACCTTTGTCTCCCCTAGCTCCCTTCCAAGGTTTGTAGGTTCTGTTGTTTTCTCTGACAAGTTTATTCATATCTGAGCAGCTTGCCTGGCAGCGGTGAGCATGTTCCATACTTGGGCTTTCTGGTCACGCTGGTAGCTGAGAGTAAGAGAGAGGGGGAATAAGTGAGTGTGGAAATGCAAAGCTGTCTCTTGTTACATCTTATCGATCTCATTCTGGTGTCATTCAATTAAGACAGAAATGTGATGGATAGTCCCTGCACAGACCCTGGGTTGCTCTCCATCCATTGCTGAGAAAGCTTTTGTGTTTTATTCGGCCGTTGGAGGGAGGGGGTGGGCAAAGGCCATGGGCAAGTGGGAGAAATCAAAGATGCTATGTGATCTGAATTACAAATCAATGTCTCCCCACAGATGCTCCAAAATGTCAAACATATCATGTATATGTTTTCACGTCTTTTCTCAGACATGGTTGGTGTTTCACCTTCTTGGTTTTCACATGTGCAGGTTTGCCCTGTTTTACTTCTTCCTGTTATCTTGTGGGATGGGTTACCAAATCTGAAGGTGGAATTCATCCTTTTTAATATTTTTCAAGGCTTGGGAGATAGCATCCTCTTCCTACTAGTGCTAGATAATTAAACATGAGCCACGTGGAAAATAATTAGTCAAACTTTTACCAATTTTAAAACTTGAGAAAATGAAAAATTCTCTTGTCACTTTTTTATGGACCTGTGATTCTAGGTTGACCTGTTTTGAAAAATAGAATATAAAGCTGGTAAAATAAAAATAGCAAAGAAAGGTGTGCTTGTTGTTGTTTTTAGTTCATAAACCAATCACTCTTATTATTCCCTATGCTACAAAGGAATTATGAATAAAATATCCGAAGTCTGTCCTGTACAGATTCCGACCCTCACTCTTGGTGGCATGCTTTCCCCTAACTATATCACTCCCTCTGTATTTGTTAACACGCCAGTGATAGTAATTCATGGATGCAAAACACTGTAAAACTACTCCTGTAACCAAAGTGTTTTAGGTTTTTTTTTTAAGAAATTGAAATAACTAGTGTAAACAGCTATCAAAGCAGGTCAGGCCAAGCAAACTCCCCTGGGATCTCTCAAAGCAATATTAGATTCAAAATGAACATTTGGGATTTTCAAATCAAGGTTATGGGTCCTGATCATTAATGCAACCCGAAAGGCAGTGAGGAATACAAATATAGGCAGGATTTTTATATCAGAGCAGTATGTTAATGTGCAAGCTTCCCTATGCATGTGGCATGTGACATTGAATAAAATGCATACATACTCTAGTATAAACCTTACTTCCTTTATCTGAAAAATAACAGGACAAAATTACACATTTAAGTATATGGAAATGCCTACTCCATGCTTGTCCTATGCACTTGAAACTTGGCAGATATCAGGCACATTTAGCTTCATCCTGAACCCTCCTTGACAGTTTTGACACTGAGTAATTTTGTCCTCTAATAAACTTGCTCAGTCATTTGAGAAAGGAATGGAAGCAAAGAAAAAATAGTACAATCGGGCCCTATCTCTGTGAGTGAAACTTTCCAGATCCTAATTCACAGAAGCTCAGCATTTACCAATTGGTGTGATATTATATTAAAGAATTTTCCAACCATCCACTCAAAGTTTGTCCTAAAACTTCATTTATGGAAGGAACTCTTAAGCCAAGTTGTATTTGTGAAAGATGTTTTTAACTACCATGCTTTAACCTGAAAGCTAAAGAGCAGCAGTGAGCTAAAGCAGTTATTTACTGATTTTACAAAGGTTAGGGGAAGCAGAAAATGATTTAGTTAGAAATTTAACTGATAGCTCACATTGTAACTTCCTCAGTAAGCTAAAATACACAAATATTGTATTGCCGGTACATGCACAGCCTTTTAGCATGGTTGAAACATAAATGTATGCCTGTGTGATGGAATTTGGCTCTCTTCATGGTTGTTGTTTTTTTTTATTTATTTTTTATTTTCATCTCCCCCTTCTGGGGCCATACATTTTTAAATAGAGTGATTAATGAAAATCGTCTTCATGAATCAAAACTTACCTCAAGCATATATCAAGACTTACTCTATTTAAGGAAAGGCCATCTTTAAGGTAGGTAAGTAGTAAGTAAAGTGTTTTTCCCTGTGATCAGAACACAATAAATAAATAGATTCTTTATGTTAAGAGCAAGTTTTTCTCCTACATTTTACACACGATATAAATATATATATTTCCAATTGTCTACCTTATGTGTGCTAAGGTTTCTTAACACATTACCAACACTTTGGTAGACATGAGTTAACAGGTTCCTACAGTCTCACATAATCATTCTGCACTTAGTCAACATTACAGTAAAATATATTTATGTACGTGTTTATAGGGGCATTAATACAAATAGTTATCTAACTCATTTTGTAGGAAGTATGGGCAGTACTCTTTGATGTCCTAGACAACGTTCATTTTTCTCTCACTAAAGCAGGAATTGCCATGCTTTATTTGGTCATTTTCAATTACCTGTTTCAGTGGTTCAGGTCCACTGGGGGTGAAGTGCTCTTCACTTCTTTTGGGTCCAAGGAGCTGCTACTGAAAAAGTGCTTTTTAAGATGCATCACAATCCATGGTTGATTGACATAATGTTAAACAATTAAGAAGGTAGACTTTTAAAAAAAATTATAAGTAATCATAATTTATAGAAACAGAGACCCTAGACTAGGATCTTAGCTTATTCTATACAATGAAAAGCCTAGTATGCTAAGTGTATGGTCATCTGGTTGGCTGTTCAACCAATCCAACTGTAATATGCTAATGATATGCTAAGGTGGCTCAACTGCTTGCTATGACATTCAGTGACCATCAGGCGGCAGACTGTTGACTGGTTGACCAGTCACTGTGACGTGCACTGACCAGCAGGGGGAAGACACTCTGACCAGTAGGTTAGCTTGCTGTTGATCTTCAGTCAATTGGGACTGAGCAAGATGGGCTGGATATACCCTAGAGCCCTCCTGCAGTCCCTTCCTGGCTGGCCAACCTCCCACACCCCTTCCTAACCCTGATCGTGCAATGGTGGGATCCCTTGGCCTGGCCTGTGCCCTCTCAAAATTCGGAACCCTTTGGGGGATGTCAGAGAGCTGGTTTCAGCCTGACCGGAAAACAACCAGTAGCTATGACATGCACTGACCACCAGGGGGCAGACGCTCAATGCAGGAGCTGCCCCCTAGTGGTCAGTGCACTCTCACATGGGGAGCACCACTCAGCCAGAAGCAGGGCTCATGGCTGGCGAGTGCAGCAGCAATGGCGGGAGCCTCTCTCACCTCTGCAGCAGCACTACAGGGAGAGGACCTAAGCCATCAATTGGACATCCCCCAAGGGTTCCTAGACTGTGAGAGGGCACAGGCCAGCTGAATGATCCCCCCACCAATGCACAGATTTTGTGCACCAGGCCTCTAATACATTATAACTTTCTATATTCATTTACAGGAGAACACGTACTCTAATATTTGTGGCAATATTGCCTCCATTTAAACTCATAAAGCACTGTGATAATAGCAATTTACCAGATAGTTAGGCACCAATTGCCAATGATATTTTCCCCTTTAAAAATACTTTTGTTGCCCTCAGCAAATAGTAAAGTCCCTGTTGCTGTTTACGTTCTATCTCTCCATTCAATTAGAAAGTAAGCATTGTGAAGGAAAAAACAACTGCAGATGATCAAAGAGTGTTGAAGTAATCATACTGACTCAATGCCTAGGGTGTCCTCAAGAAACAGAATGTTGCTTTATTATCTCCATTCCTATTTTGTATTCATCAAAAGGAATTTAGAGAATGATGACATCCTTAGACCCTGGCAGTTCCTGCTCTTCAACAGTCACACTTAACTTGCAAATCACAGGATAGGGCTGTCCTTTGCAAGGACAGTTTAGGCATCTGCTCTACATTCATTGTTGAACTCACATCATGTTCCAGGCATTCTGATGAGTGCAGAGTATGGACATTCTCAAGTTAGTAAACTATGTACCAATTCATTTTAATTTTTATAATCACGTTGTGCTTATCTTGAATTTTGGAGGATGTGTCTCTGCTGGTCTCTTTGCTTCTGTCTTCTTCCTAGTTCTTAATGAAGGTTCTTCCTGATTTCTGGCCATACAGCTGGATTTAGAATGCATTTTCAACAGTTGATGACCACATAGCAAATCAATTGTTTGTTTTTTTTCCAACTTAAATTACTTTCTTAATATATTTTAAGGTTGCATCCTAAATAACTTCAGATTGATATCCTCCAACTGACATTATTTTAAGTAAGACAGTTCTTTCTTTTTACTTTTTTAAAATATATTTTATTGGAATTTTTTTTTTTTTTTTTTTTTTTTTCGAGAGGAAGGGAGAGGGATAGAGAATTGAAAACATCTATGAGAGAGAAACATTAACAGCTGCCTCCTGCACACCTCCTACTGGGGATGTGCCTGCAACCTAGGTACATGCCCTTGACCAGAATCAAACCTGAGACCTTTGAGTCTGAAGGCTGACACTCTATCCAATGAGCCAAACTGGTTAGGGCAGTAAGACAGTTCTTTCTGTTGGCTCATTCTCTCTCTCTCTCTCTCTCTCTCTCTCTCTCTCTCTCTCTCTCTCTCTCTCTCTCTCTCTCTCTCTCTCTCTCTCTCTCCCTCCCTCCCTCCCTCCCTCCCTCTCATTTTCTATACTTTACTTAACTCCTTTTCTCTAATTATGTCAGCAATCTTTTGAAATCCTAAAATTAGAGTTTTTGACTTTG